GAGGAGAGCTTGTCCGCAGACGTATCGCGGACAAAAGCTCGAGATCCCCAGACTCGGAAACGCGACGCATCGCCAACCTCCCCTGTCCACAACAGTGTGGGCGATGTCTCCGGCAAGGAGACACGGGGCCAGAGGTTGAGCTGATGCGCAGCGTACCGGACCGCAAACGGCCACAGAAAGTGGGGGGCAGCCGCATGGATCAAGGAGGTACGAGCGGCCTCCATGATCAGGCCGATGCGGCGCTCCGCAACCCCATTCTATTGTGGAGAGGCCGGAAGCGTGAACGACTGCTCAATGCCGTGCTCAGCACAATAGGCTGCCAAGAGGTCGGAGGAGAACTCGCCACCTCTATCATAGTGCAAGCGAAGGACAGGAAAGTCCGAGTGGAAACGCTCGCTGAGCTGGAGTTGGGCTCTGCGGATCCAAGGGATCAAGACATCAGGGACCTCACCCTTGGTGCGCAAGGGGAAGACCGTGGTGTAGCGCAAGTAGTCGTCAACAACTATCAGGAAGTACCTCTCCTGACCCTGACCACGGACGCGGGCTGGGCCCCACACGTCCATGTGGAGCGTCTGCAAGGGAGCAGTCGTCGGGGGAAACGAGGAGGAGTGAGGAGCGGCGCGCTGCCGCCCCTCGACAAAGGGAAGACAGGGAGGAGCAGGTGAGGGAGGGAGGGGAGGAAGGACCCTGGGAAGACCAGAGACAAGGTACCGGGAGTGCATGGCACGAAGGCGCTGCACAAACGGGTGGCCAAGGCGGTGGTGCCAGAGGACAGTCTCGTGTGCCAGAGAGCGACACGAGCAGGGGGCCGACAGCTGACCTGACGCGGACGCAGATGCAGCAACCTGAGTGGACTCAGTGGTCAGTGTGTACAGGTCCAACCCCGGCTGCCGAGTGAAGGTAGCGAAGTGACGGCCCGTACGAGCACACGTAAGTGTGTCACACGCTCGTAGGCAGGGGTGAACTGGTGAACACCCCCGTCCTGGAGTGCTCATCCTGCCACCAAGTTCGTAGAGAACGAGGGGAGGTGGAGACCTGACAGTGTGCCCGACGGGACTGCACGATAGGGAAGGACAGTGGAAGAGGTGGCAATGACCGGACCCCCAGAGGGGTCAGCAAGGGAGACACCAACTGGCCGAGCAAGCGGCTCAAGGGCAGTGCGGTCACGAAAGAAGCAGTGAGAAGCACCCGAGTCTAGTGTGAAGGTGTGCAGTGCTGCACTCGACTCAGTACCAAGGGGGGCAGACGCACAAGCACCTAGAACAGCTGCCTCACCAGCACCTGGGGTAGCCGACACGCGAGTACCTGGAGCGGCAGACGCACTAGTCCTAATACCCGGGTCGGGCGGCACACACAGGTACTCAGCACCCTCTCCACTAGTTGACATCATATACATAGCAGATAGAATAGCATCAAAGTCTAGAGCATAGATATCAATCCCCTTCTTCAGGAGATCAATCCAGCGGGGCAGCTCAGTGGCCTGAGGGAACTGAACACGCCAAGCGTCGTCGAGACGAGCAAAGCAGCGCTGTGTGGCGTGCGGTCGTCCACACTGCTGACCAGAGCGGTCACCGGTGCGAATGACGTACGTGCAGCTAAAGCCACCCCCCCCCCCCCCCCCGTCCAGAGAGTACCACTCACGGACTTCCTGGGGCGACGGAGTGTGCTGCTGGCCCTGGCCACCGCCAGCGCCTCCACGACCACCACCGCCGCAGCCACCTCCTCGACCACCCCAACCCCTGCCGTCGCCTCGTCTACCGCCACCCCAACCACCGCCTCCGCCCCTGCCACCTCCCCCGCCGCTGCCGCCACCACCCCCACCGCTGCCACTAGTCCCTCCAATCGCGCCACCACCCCCACCGCTTCCACCGCCCCCACCACCGCCTCCCCCGCCGTCACCGCCACCACCCTTGCCCCCTTTGCCCTTGCCGTTGCGGCGCCCGCTCAAAGCAGACGCAGTACCGACCTTCTCAGCACCAAGGAGGTCGACAGCAGCAGCAGAGGCGGCAGAGGGAAGAAGAGGGGAAGGAGAATACCTCTCAAAGAACGGGGTACGGGGGTCGCCACGAGAGGCATCTACAGCGACTATGCTAGTCTCAGCTGCAAGCAGTTCCTTCTCGAGGAGGGCAATTGTGAGCTCAGTGGGGCAGCGAGCTAGGAAGTGGTCCCTGACAGCACGCAGTGTGTCAGGGAGGCGGGTGACTAGGTGATAGAGAGTGAGCCAGAGTGGGGGGGGGTGCGTGGCAAGGAACTCAGCGGGCATGGCGGCACGGAAGCGGGCCTCACTAGTACGGAGGTGCGTGATTAGGTCAGCGACTGTGTGGAACGAGGCCAGGTCGGGAAACAGGTAGGGGAGGGAGAGACGGCCTAGCGCGGCAGAGGCAGGTAAGGAGTAGCGAGCAATGACAGCTGTGTACAGTACCTGTGCAGTCTTGTGCTGGCCAAAGTGCTCGCATTCGTCTATCGGCAGGGAGTTGCGAATAGTGAAGCGAGCGTGGGCATCACGAGTCTGCCACTGTGAGCGAGCAGTGCTGTTAGCAGTAGCAGCAGGGGCAGTGACATGGCCTAGGGCGTGGTTGTACAGTGAGATGTCGTCCTTGGCTGTGAGCTGTAGATAGAGATGCAGGTCATCTAGCCAAGTGTCAAACTTCACTGGGCGGCCCTCAGCATCGAAAACTAGAACCTGTGGGCTAGCCATAGGAGAAGTAGAAGTAGCAGCAGTAGGAGGAGGAGGAAGCAGGTAGGGCGGCTCGGATCAGGTAGGGCGGCGTGGCTCGGGTGGGGTGGCGCGGTTCGGGTCGGGTCGCGTGGCTCGGCTTGGGTCGCGCGGCTTGGCTCGGGTTGCGCGGCTCGGCTCGGGTCGCGCGGCTCGGTTCGGTCCCGGGCTGTGGCGGTCACGGGCCGTTTGGGGCCTCTAGGGGCGGTGGGCGCGGGGCCGTTCGGGGTCTCTAGGGACGGTGGGCGCGGGGCCGACGGGGCCGCTAGGGAGGTGAGCGCGGGGCCGTTAAGGGGCCTCTAGGGGCCGACGGGGCCGTTTGGGGCCTCTAGGGAGGAGCGTGGGGCCGTAAAGGGGCGACCGCGGGGCCGACGAGGCCGTAAGGGGCCTCTAGGAAGGTGAGCGCGGGGCCTTAAAGGGGCCTCTAGGGGCCGACGGGGCCGTTCGGGGCCTCTAGGGAGGAGCGCGGGGCCGTAAAGGGGCAAGCGCGGGGCCGACGGGGCTGTAAGGGGCCTCTACGGAGGTGCGCGCGGGGCCGACGGGGCCGTTCGGGGCGTCTAGGGAGGTGAGCGCGGGGCAGACGGGGCCTCTAGGGAGGTAAGCGAGGGGCCGACGGGGCCGTTAGGGGCGATCGCGGGGCGAAAAGGGGCGAGCGCGTGGGCCGTTCGGGGCCTCTAGGGGCGAGCGCGGGGCCGTAAGGGTCGGGCCGACGGGGCCTTAGAGGGCCGTGAAAACCGAGGCGCCCTAGGGCGCCGGTAGGTAGGTAGGTAGCTAGGTAGTGGTGGGCCCTAAAAAAAAATCGGTCCTAGGAAGGACCTGCTCTATACCATGTTAGAATAAACGAATAGGAATGAATGAACTAGCAGTGAAAACAGTACAAGTACCTAACCCTAGAATTGTGTACCCCCTATAGGCTAACCCACTGTAGCCTAAACAAGCACACCAACATATATAATGTTTGACAAACACGAGGCTATATATAGGCTCGACACAAGGCCCCGTAACCAGGTGTTACGCGAAGGTTCTGTCAGAACATTATAGCTTATACATTTGTGTAGGCTGTAGTGGGGTAGCCCATAAGGGGTACAACCCAATAAGGGTTAGCACTTCTACCCAACTGTTTCATAGTTCATTCATCCATTCTCACTTCTCGTCATGGTATCGAGCATGTTCTCGAGTGGGAATAGTGCCTAGGGCCCACCACGAACTTTTTTTCCCTTCCTTGCCCGTAGCGCGCTTCGCTCCTCACCCGAGTAGCGCCTCAAGCCGCCCTTACGGCCCCTTCGCGCCGCCTTCTACGGCCCCTCACGCCACTCTTACAGCCCCTTACGGCCCCGTCTGACCCCTTACGGCCCCGCTTAGGCCCCTTACGGCCCCGTCGCGACCTCGCCTAGGCCCCTTACGGCCCCGTCGCGGCCCCGCCTAGGCCCCTCCGCGGCCCCGTCGTGCCCCTTACGGCCTCGCCTAGAACCCTAACGGCCCCTTTGCGCCCTCGCCTAGGCCCCTTACGGCCCCTCCGCGGCCCCGCCTAGGCCCCCTCTGCGGCCCCGTCTGGCCCCTTACGGCCCCCCTTTACGGCCCCGCCTAGGCCCCTCCGCGGCCCCGTCTGGCCCCCTTTACGGCACCGTCTGGCCCCTTACGACCCCTTTGCGGCCCCGCCTAGGCCCCTCCGCGGCCCTGTCTGGCCCCTTACGGCTCCTCCGCGGCCCCGCCTAGGCCCCTCAACGGCCCCGCCTGGCCCCTTTACGGCCCCGCTACGGCCCCTTTGCGGCCCCGTCGCCACCTGCGGCCCCGGCGCCACCTGCGGCCCCGTCGCCACCTGCCGCCCCACCGACACCTGCGGCCCCGCCGCCACCTACGGCCCCGTCGCCACCTGCGGCCCCACCGCCACTTGCGGCCCCGTCGCCACCTGCGGCCCCGCCGCCACCTGCGGCCTCGCCGCCACCTGCGGCCCCGCCGCCCAGCGCCCGCACCGCCGACAGCTGAACCGCCAGCCAGCTGAGCCGCCCGACCACCGAGCCGCCCAGAAGCCGAGCCGCCCAACCCCCGAGCCGCCCAGCAGCCGAGCTGCCCGACCGCTGAGCCACCCAGCACCAAGCAGCCAAGACGCCCGACCGCCGAGCCGCCCAGCACCGAGCAGCCGAGCCACCCGACTGCCGAGCCGCCGAGCAGCCGAGCTGCCCGACCGCCGAGCCGCCCGATCGCCCCACTTGCCTGCTAAGAGCATAGTCTCTGCCACAGCACAGCCCTGCCCCAGTGTACTCACTACGTGCCTACTGTTGTTATGGCCTCCCCTAGCGTTCTCACCTTTGACGCTAAGGGTCGAGCAGTGTACTTTGAGGTCTGGGTAGATGATCTGCAGCTTTTCCTGCAGTGCGATAGGGCAGACGGCCTCTCCCTGTTTGTCCTCACTTCTGGTGCCTCCCCTGCCCCTGCTGTTGATGTTGATGCCACTGTTCGCTCACAGTGGGCCACGCGTGATGCTGCTGCTCGCCTTGCTGTGCGCCGCCACTTACCGACCACTGAGCGTGCACACTTTAGCCAGTACAAGAGTGCTCAGACCTTGTACGACGCTGTAGTTGCACGCTACTCTTCCCCTGCCACTACTGCACTAAGCCGCCTCATGCTACCGTACCTCTTCCCTGACCTTGCTGCCTTTCCCACTGTCGCTAACCTCATTACGCACCTCCGCAATAGTGACACTCGCTACCGCGCTGCGCTTCTTGCTGAGTTTTGCGCCAAGAACCCCCCCCCCCATGTACATCACCCTCTACTACATAGTCACCCGGCTCCTTGACTCTCTTTGCATAGTCAGGGACCACTTCCTCTCTGCTTGCCCCACCACTCTCACCGTTGACCTCCTCGAGAAGGCCCTCCTAGCGATAGAGAAGAGCATAGTTGCTGCAGGAGCCTCTCGTGGTGACCCTTGCACCCCCGTCTTTGAGGGGTGTTCTCCCTCCCCCCTCTTGCCCTCTTTTCCCTCTGATGCTGCAGCCGACCTCGTTGGCTTCGAGTCGGTCGGCGCTGCGTCTGCCCCGAGCAGAAGACGCCGCACTGGTAAGGGCAAGGGGGGCAAGGGCACTAGAGGGGCTGGAGGGGGCGGTGGAGGTGGTGGTGGAGGCGGTGGAGGGAGTGGGGGTGGTAGTGGGAGTGGTGCCGGGGGTGGCGGCGGCAGCAGCAGCAGTAGAGGCGGTGGAGGTGGCGGAGGGAGCAGAGGCGGCGGAGGTAGTGGAGGAAGCGGAGGTGGAGGAGGCGGCGGAGGCAGCGGTGGTGGAGCGAGTCGCGACTGTGCGCAGAGGAGTGGTGCCTGTGGTGGTCAGCGCCAGCAGCAGCAGCGGAGTGGTGTGACCCTGTCCCCTCAGTAGCTTCGTGAGTGGTACACTGCGCGTCAGCGCGGAGGGGGTTTTGGTCCCTGCACTTACGTCCTCCGTACCCGCAACCGAGCTGGTGAGCAGTGCGGAGGCCCGCACTCCACCCAGCGCTGCTTTAGTTGCCTGACGGACGCGTGGCGTCGCCATTTCCCTGAGGCGTCAGAGATCCCTCGCTGGGGAGATCTGGCTAAGGCCGGGGTTGCTATCTTTGATCTTGACTTTGTTGCTATCCTTGCTGCCATGTATGCTGTTGATACTAGTGTTGCTGGTGACTGTTACCTCTGGGGGTCCTGTCCTTGCTACCTTCTCATCTGTCCTTGCGTGCCCGGCAGCCCCCTCTGGCACCCTGTCTGGTCTCTACCTCCCCTCATTCTCTACGAACTTGGTGAGTGGAGCGGACCTACAGGATCGAGGGGTTGACTAGTTCACTCCTGCGAGTCAGCGAGTGACCCACTGCACGTGTGCTCGGACAGGCCGACACTTGGCCACGTTCACCCGTCGGCCAAGGTCGAGCCTCTACACCCTTACTACTGAGTCTCCTCCTACTGCAAAGTCTGCCCAGGTAGCTGCGTCGAGTCAGGTGTTTGCTGCGGCGTCCAGGTCTGGTCTTGAGTCTGCCCCCTGCTCTTGTCGTCTGCTGTCCCACCAGACTCTCCTTTGGCACCACCGCCTTGGTCACCCCTCCTTGCCTCGCCTCCGAGGCATGGCCTCCCGTGTCCTTGTCTCTGGTCTTCCTCGGTCTCTCCCTCCCCTTCCTCCGGGGCCTGGCCCTACCTGCGTCCCTTGCGTTGAGGGGCAACAGTGCGCCGCCCCTCAGTCCTCCGAGTTTCCTCCGACAAAGGCTTCGCTGCAGACTCTCCACATGGACGTGTGGGGCCCAGCCCGCGTCAGTGGGCAGGGGTGAGAGCGGTACTTTCTGCTGGTCATTGACGACTACTCGCGTTACACCACAGTCTTCCCCTTGCACAGCAAGGGTGACGTCACTGAGGTGTTGATCGACTTAATCCGTGCAGCACGTCTCCAGCTCAGAGAGAGTTTCGGCTCGGACTTTCCTGTTCTGCATCTGCACTCAGACGGAGGCGCAGGAGTTTTCCGCTGCCCGTCTGGGAGCCTTGTGTCGTACACAGGGCATCGGCCAGACCTTCACGCTTCCGGCCTCTCCACAGCAAAATGGGATTGCTGAGCGCCGCATTGGCATGGTCATGGACGTCGCTCGTTCGTCCATGATGCATGCGGCTGCCCCCCATTTTCTGTGGCCGTTTGCGGTTGAGTACTCCGCGCATCAGCTCAACCTTCAGCCCCGGGTCTCCTTACCAGAGACCTCCCCCGCCTTGCGGTGGACACGGAAGGTTCGCGATGCGTCTGCGTTTCAAGTATGGGGATCACGGGCGTTGGTCCGCGACTTGTCTACGGACAAGCTGTCCCCCCGTGCTGTTACTTGCGTCTTCCTTGGCTTCCCCCTTGACGGGCCCGGGTGGCAATTTTTCCACCCCACCTCGCGCCATGTTCTGTCCTCCCAAGATGTCACCTTTGACGAGTCGGTGCCTTACTAACGTCTCTTCCCCTACCGCTCTGCGCCCCCCCCCCCCCCCCCTCCCGGCCGCCGCTCTTCCTTGCGCCGGGTCCTCCCCAGGTTGACCCTCTTCCCCCTTAGGGTCCTACCCGTCAGGTGTGTCCCAGGTAGACGTTGTCCAGCGTGTGGAGGTGGTTGTTGACTCTAGTACTGCTAGAGGTGCTGAGCCTGCGGGTGTCGGGTCTGGGGGTGCTGAGTCTGGGGGTGCTGAGACTGGGGGTGCTGAGCTTGGGGGTGCTGAGCCTGGGGGTGCGAAGCTTGGGGGTGCGGAGCCTGGGGGTGCTGGGTCTGCTCATGTGGCTGCCGGCGGTACTTCGTCGAGGCGGGAGCCGCTCTCTCCTCTTGTGCCTACCTGGCCTCACTTGCTCACTTCTTGATCTTGTTTGTACTGTCCTCTTTCTATACCTGCACTTGCTTATTTACCTTTATGTATATGATCTTGCATGTGAAGTGGCCTTGTGGCCTTACTCTTGTGTTCGGACTGTGTGGTGACTTTGTGATCCACCCTGAGGTAGGATAGGTACAAGTCCCAGCTAAGTGCAGAAGCGCTGATGATCACAAGGCGGAAGTGCCTTGGTGAAAACATCAGCAGTGTTGGCCTCAGAGGCCACGTACGCAAGTCGCAACTGACCACGCTGCTGCAGCTCACGAGCAAGGAAGTAACGTAGAGCAATGTGCTTTGTTCTGTGCTCCAAGCGCTGTTCTCGACACAAGGCCAGCATGGCCTTGTTGTCTACGTACACCACTGGAGGAGAACGAGGCGGCTCTCCAAGGTCAGTCAGCAGGTAGGTGAGCCAGCGAAGCTCCTGTGCAGCCATGGCCCCGGCGTAGATCTCAGTCTCACAACTGGAGCCGAGAACAGAAGACGAGCGAGTAGCCCGCCAAGAGACACAGCCAGAACCAAGACTGAAGGTGTACCCCTGCGACGACCGCTGCGTAGCCTGGTCATCAGCCCAAGAAGCGTCCGCGTGGCCAGTGAGGACCACTGGACTCCGCCCTCCAAGCACTAGTCCCATGCCCGACGTACTGCACAAGTAGCGCAACACCCTCTTCGTTGCAGCCATGTGCTCTGGTCGGTGTCTCCCAGGAGCAACATAGCGTGGAAGAATGCTAAGAGGGTATGCAAGGTCAGGTCGAGTGCAGGTCATCAGGTACATGAGGCAGCCAACAAGCTCTACTACGGGCCACTCGGCTCTACGGACTCATCCGAAGGCAGAGCTGAGAGCGAGTGGCGAGTAGCCAGAGGAGTGGCCTGCGGCGAGGAGTACGTGAAGCCGAAGCGCTGAAGGACCTGCTGCACCATGTGTGACTGAGTCAAGGTAATGGTGCGGCGTGCTCTGTCCCGAGTGATCTGCAAGCCAAGGTAGCTGCGCAGTTCACCCAGGTCTGTGCACGTGTGTCTCTTCAGCAGCTCGGACTTCACGTAGGCGAGTCCAGCAGTGTCAGCACTGGCAAAGACCAAGTCGTCGACGTACACGAGGATGTAGAACGGCGGCAGAGAAGTGTCGGTGCACAGAAACAACGACGGGTCAGCAGTAGAGGGAGCAAACACAAGAGCCGCAAGCGTAGTCCTCAGTGTGTCGTGCCACTCACGCGGTGCCTGGCGGAGACCGTAGACTGGCCGTCGGAGGCTCCACTGGGTGCCAGGAGGGAAAGTCCCAGTGAAGCCAGGCGGACGGCGCAGCCAGATCTCCTCGTGCAGGCTGCCCTGCAAGAAAGCAGTGCTGAAGTCAAGAGAGTGAAGCTCGTAGTCGCGCTGAGCGGCTATGTGCAGCAGCACCCGAAGAGTGGTCATCTTCGGGGTGGGAGAGAAGGTCTGAAAGTAGTCAACTCCCTGCCGCTGACTGAAGCCACGAGCAACGTACCGCGCCTTGAAGACAGGTGGAGAGCCAGGCGGTCGCTTCACCCTGAAGATCCACATGCCACTGACGATGTTCGCCCCAGGAGGGGGAACCTCGTCAACGTAGGTGCCTGTGGACTTCCAGGAAGCCATCTCTGCATCCATAGCTGCCTGCCACTGAGAGGAGTAGGGACCCTCTACGACCTCCGCGTAAGAACGCGGAGTCGGGATGTCTAGTGCATCCGGGTCTCCCTTAGGGGCAAGTAGTACAGACGCGAGATGAGGTGAAGCAGCAGCCAGACACTGGAACTCCTCCTGCCTGTCCTCAAGGACGTCCGTGCCAAGAGCACACTCACCCCCGACGGACGGAGGACAGACAAACGCAGACTCAGCAACAAGACTAGCAGCGTAGTCTAGACGACAGCAAGCAGCAAAGTCGACGAGCTCAGCGACAAGAGCAGACGCAGCAGTGGACTCGAAAGAGGGGTCAGTAACAACAGTAGCAAGAAGACGCGTGACAGTAGGACTGGCAGCACGAAGAGAGTCCGACTCCGGGTCGGAAAGCGCAGGAAGAGAGGACTCAGGAGGAGAAGGCAAAGGGGCACGCAGAGGAGCACTGGACGGATGCAGAGACATCCGGTGCGTGCGAGGGACAGGAGGAGGACGCTGACGCGAACTGCGACCACTAGCGCGAGCAGCTCGAACAGGCGACGCGGGACGAGACGGAGGCTCACGACGCTCAGCAAGACCTCCAGTAGGACCAGCGTAAGGAGAGGGAGCAGGCAGTGGGGAGGCTGGCTCAAACAGCGACGGCGAGTGGACAGACGGCGGACACTCTACAGAAGGAGGAAGACCAAGAACCTGCTGCAGGAGCGGAACGAAGTACAACCGAGGCCGCGCGGGGACTCTTGGCACAGCAGGGACAGCTCCAGACCCCTCAGCAGCAGCACCAGCGCCAACAGCACCTCCAGCGGCAGGACCTCCAGCCGCACCAGCAGCACGACCACCGCCTGGACAGACAGCAGCAGTCTCAGCACCAACACCCTCAGCAGCTGCAGCTCCAGTAGGACCCGAAGGTCCAGCAGCTCTAGGACCGGCGGCACCCGCGCCCGCAGCGGCCGAAGAAGCTCCAGCTCCAGCAGTACGCCTCCAGCGGCGAGCAAACCACTCGCGCAGCTCCTGTGGAGAGAGGGGCTCCCGCCGAGACAGAGCACCCGGAGAACCTCCAGGCCCAGCACCGCTAGACGCCACAAGGGGAGGTCCAGTGGCCGCAGGCTCCGCACAGCCAGACTCAGCAGCCCCAGACGCAGCACCCCCAGGCTCAGCAGCTCCAGACGCAGCACCTCCAGGCGCAACACCTTCCGGCGCAGCACCCCCAGACTCAGCAACCGCAGGCTCGTCACCCCCAGGCTCAGCACCCACGCGCACAGCACCCCCAGGCTCAGCACCCCCAGGCTCGTCACCCCCAGGCTCAGCACCCATGCGTACAGCACCCCCAGAGTCAGCACCCCCAGGCTCAGCACCCGCAACAGTACCAGAGTCACCAGGAACCTCGACCGGCTCGACGGCGTCTACCTGGGA